CAATACAATGGTGAACAACACCAGACAGTTCCCTTAACTCTTATGGAGATTACAGTTTAGCTGGGGACGTAGAAATGAATAAAACAGCCATAAAACAAATGCACAATGATAAGTGTCAATAATGTTCTGAAGGGAAGATACTTGACGAGAGTCCACAAAGGGGAACCCTACCTAACTTTGAGTGGAGAGGAGGATGGGCAGGGCAGGAAAGGCTAATCCAGACAAAGTCATGTTTGAGCTGAGATCTGAAGAATGAGTAGCTTTTCACTAAATAAGATAGAGAAAAGAAGTGAAGGTTAGAGAAGAGTATTCCAGATAGAAGTTCTGGCTTAAAGAGGGTGGATAGGGCCACAGTATCACACACAGCAAGCCTCAAGATACAGGGACTGACCAAATAGACAATACTAACCATTTTCTTCAGTCTCTTCTCTTCTCGTTTTCTTTCAAGCTGTGCCTCCTTTTCTTCTGCCTCCCTTTTCTGACGTTCCTCCTCTTGGGCCTTCAACTGGGCCTGATTGAGATTAGAACCCAGAAAAATCAGAACCCTCAATTTGAACAGAAATGTGATCTTTTATGTTTAGGATAGTCAATCTACCAAAGTGCCTGTCCTATCTCTGGAATAAGTCTGCACTTGGTGATAAAAGTAGAAAACTCAATCAACATGTCATCAGTTATGTAACTTAAAAGTTTCTCCAAAAGAATCCTTTTCTACTTGGGAAGGAAAGACTGATCATAAATAATATCACTAATTTTTCATTTAAAAATGATGACTTTGGCTGGGCACGGTGGCTCACGCCTATAATCCCAGCACTCTGGGAGGCCAAGACGGGCGGATCACGAGGTCAGGAGATCGAGACCATCCTGGCTAACACGGTGAAACCCCGTCTCTACTAAAAACACACAAAAAATTAGCCAGGCGTGGTGGCGGCCGCCTGTAGTCCCAGCTACTTGGGAGGCTGAGGCAGGAGAATGGAGTGAACCCAGGGGGCGGAGCTTGCAGTGAGCCGAGATCACGCCACTGCACTCCAGCTTGGGCGACAGAGCGAGACTCCGTCTCAAAAAAAAAAAAAAAAAGATGACTTTTTAGTTCTTACTGCCATCTGTGAAAAACTAACTCCAAGTTAGAAACAGTTTAGGAGGAAAAAGGTTTTCTTTCATTTCACCAGAAAACCCCCAACTGATAGAACTGTTTATTTTTTCTTGGTAATTACAAAATTTACTTCGGATAGTCTAGGTCAAAACTTTGGAAGATAAGAACTAACCCCCTTTGCAAATTCATTAGGTCAGACATCTGCCTATAATACACTAATCTTGTTTATGTGTAAATCTTCTAATCTGCTGGCTCTCATCAACTTTTATAACATTTTCTTTCTGCTGTGTTAATGATGTTGATGTTTCCGTTCCCCTTATTTTCCTAAAATTGTCAAAGAATTCAGGCCAGTAGGCCAAAAAACCATTTCCAAAGTTGACGTAACTATATTGTCTCAAGAGTTCTGAAAAAGTGAGGTTTCATTTTTTAAGAAAGACCTAGACAAATCCTTTTTTTTTTTTGACTCAGTTTGCATTTTGAATTTATTACCAATTTTTCTTCTTCTTGTTTTTTCTTCTTCTCTGCCAAGATTCGCCTACGTTCAGCCCGTTGAATTGCTCTCTCTTCCATAGCTAGAAAATAGTAACAGAGTTCTAACATTTTTTATATTGAAAAAAATATGAGGAATACTGCAAGAGAAATGCCTCCATTTCATAGTAAAATTTAGTGTTATTATTAGGGTTTTCTTGTAAGTTGAAAGTTCACAATCTCAGAAAATATGTAGAGATAAATAGAACTTATATACTCTATAGGTTAAAGACTTATTATCCCATCCTCAGCAATGAGGAACAATTTATAAATTAATTGTTTTGTTTATATTTTTATTAAAAATGATTAAAAATGATTTATGATTTATAAAAAATGATTTACTGATTTATAATGTGCCTTGATGATAGACTTTTAGTATATGAAACCCAGAAACCAGAATTATAATTTGATTATATATTTGATGAATGCAGGAAACTTTAATTACACCTAACAAGTACTTTGAGAGTAGAATCATTCCTCAAATCCTATTGAATCTGCTAATTTTTCTTAAGTCACTATATATATGTCTGTATATATAAGAACAACAACAAACAAACTAAAGTTTGGGGTCACGATGAAGATATTTCAATCTAGTTTTAAGGCCTGGATATACAGATGGGCAGGAAATGGAATTGTACCAGGCATTTGGAGAACTGGCATATGAACGAATTTGAGTGTCAGAATCCTGTTCTTGACAGTCTATTAAATATCGATCCAAAAGAAACAAATGTGCAAGATGGTCTGATAATATGACTCTGTAATCAGTTGGGGCTTTCATAGGAAGAAGGGCATGGATGGGAGGAGTATCAAGTTCTGCTCACCTAAGCCAGCCAATAGTTACTTTCAGTTCCTTGTGCCATATTACAGAGAAAAGAATTTAAGTCCAAGTTTTAAGAATTAATAAACAAAAAACTCACCAGGCTATTTCTTGGACAGATATTAAGTGTCTGCTTTGCTGAAGAAGAATGGTAGTGCCACAGATGGCGAGAGTGAAATTGTCTCTCAGAAGGCAGAAATAGACCAGGGGATTAAAGTGAGAGACCCCTAAGAAGTAGAGTTTCTAGTAATATGCCCTTTGCCCATCTTTTCTAGATCTAATCATTAAAAGACTACTTGAAAGTAGACTGGGCTTCTAAAATAGCTAACTCCTTGATCAAACAATAATTTTTTAAAAAAATTACACTTAACTGGGCATTTCCTGACCAAGCTTAATGACAGGCAACGCCAGCATAAATTGCTGTCCTGGCAGATAGTTAATGCAAAGACTGCCAATTTCTTCATTAATAGGAACTGACTGCAGGCACAGTATCTTCATTTGCAATTACTTCTTGTTAAACCAGCAATCTTGTCACAGGTAAAAAATCAAATTTACAAACCACAATATAATTGTCAAAGTGCCAACCACCACATGCAAACATATGTACAGTGAAGGACTAAGTATATAGTAAAAACAATTAGCAGATTAACTAGGTGGGTTCTGAAGAATGCTTCTATTCACATAGTTTAGTTTAAATAAGGGTTTCTGGCCAGGTGCAGTGGTTCATGCCTATAATCCCAACACTTAGGGAGGTTGAGGTGGGAGGTCTGCTTGAGGCCAGGAGTTTGAGACCAGTCTGGGTAACACAGGAAGACCCTACCTGTACCAAATAAATAAATGTTTCTATGTGCATCAAAAATGTTATCAAATGAAGATATCTGGTTTGTAGGTTTCATTACTAAAATCCTATCAATAAGTTACAACATTGTAAAATGATATAATAATTTAGCTTGTATTACTGTAAACTGATCAATATTTGAACATTAACGAAGTACGATGACAGGTGACCTTTACCAGTGTTTGTCCTTGGCAGCAACTTAGAGCTTTCTCATTTGTATAATTATCCCTTTTCTTTTCACAATCCAAATCTCAAATTACAGAAAAATGACACACCTTTCAGCTATGTTTTTTCTGTGTGTGTGTTGGTTGGGAATGCCAAAAAGGTTGGCAAAAGGGGCAGTAAAAAAGTACTGGGGCTCTCTGGTGTACTCCACTCCTCACATGTCTACCGTTCTGAGATTTTTGATGTCAGGTTCTGTTAAGTCTCAAAACCTCAAGAGTCGTCAGAATTCAGTACCAGTGTACACATTCTACTCTAGGAGAGGAGATTACAACCACCAAGGCACCACCGAGACAGCCTTGCCTTTTAGTATGGGATGTGGTGTCATCAATTGCTTTGGCTTCCTTTTGCGTCCAGAAAGAGAATTTCGGGAGTCACTTCTACTGCCTTCAGTCCCAGGGGAAGCAACAGGTGAACTAGGGGAAAAATAAAGGAAAAGAATTTAGATTACTAACCAGTTTCCTTCAAAGTCCTTTGACCTGAGAAGCTCAAAGCCTTTTACAGACCTTAATGAATCCCTATTCTCTGAGATAACTACATATCATATCCACGCCATAAATGTGTGTAATGAGATACGGAAAGGTTGCGTGATCGGCATGAGTCTACACAGTGAGTCAGGTCCTCTGACTCCCATCCTAATGCTTCAAATCCATAAGTATCACCACATCTTATCCTATCATTTACTACATGCAATGAGTATGTCTCAAGCACAACTGAAACCATATTAAATGGCTTTTCAGAAATTTGGGCTCTTATTTGAGGCTCAAAGATGTTTTGTTTTATCCCTAACAACTACAAATTTAAGCCAGGAAATAAGCCAGCCCAGGGGCTGCTCCACATGGACCTGATGTTGTCTGACTTGGCTTCTCAGCACTTAACATAGCTAGAAACCCAGAAATAGAGCAAGAAAGCATTTTTCTGTTTAACTGGCATAGTAACAGAGATCCTCAAAAGCAGCCACGACCTAAACGCTAACTGTGTAACCGGATCCTTACAGGCATCCTTGACTATCTATGCCTGTCATATGCTAGTCGCAACATAGGCTTCTTTGCTTTGAGAGCACAAAATCAAAGAAAAGGAAAGATCATGGAACTCAGAAGCAGGACAAAGAAGCTCAGGACCCCAAGTGAAAAACCCCTTAAAATGAGTCCAGAGAGTTCTGATAGAACAGACATACTTCACAAGCATCTGGCAGGTTCTTGGTTCCTCTTCTCCTCTGGGCTTTGACAGCAGGTGGCTCTGTGTGTCTGTGACTGCTGAGGCATGCTCTGCTGCCCACTGAGCCTCTGCCAGCCGCTGGTTTTTCTTCAGCTCGAGAATTGTTTTCTGCTGTTCCTGAAGTTTCTTCTTTTGCTTCTCAATCAGCTGCTGCTGGAAGACATGGCGGCTGTGGAAATGACCCAAGCAAAGCGGTTCTGCTTTCTGGCTGGTGGTTCTGAGCGTCTCGTTGCTGCCAGGCAGTTGAGGGGGTTCAACACCCAGGGTCTTGTGCTGCTTATTGCCAGGTGCACTCAAAGGGACATTCTGAAGGGAACCCTGCAAGTTGCCTGTTGTTCTTCCTAGGGGAGGACTGAGCATGCAATCACTGCTTCCCAAGGGAGGCTTTTCCCACAAAGGGGGCACAGCAGTCACCTGAGAGAGAGAAACATGTTATAACTCAACTATTTAAAGGACTGTGCTGATGAAATTCAACATTCATGAGGTCAGTATTGTTTTGTTTAATGGCACAACTGCCATGTATTGCAGGTAAAGGTGGTCTGTGCTCCTGGCCTGGCTACCTCAGAGGCCACCACTCTTAAAACATGCATTGTTGCTCACCATGAAAACTGGGAGAGTGGCTGGCTATGGTGGCTCACACCTATAATCCCAGTGCGTTGGGAGCCCAAGGTGGCAGATCACTTGAGGTCAGGAGATTGAGACCAGCCTGGCCAACATAGTGAAACCCTGTCTCTATTAAAAACACAAAAATTAGCCGAGCATGATGGTACGCACCTGTAATCCCAGCTAGGATTATAGGAGGCTGAGGCAGGAAAATCACTTGAACCCAGGAAGTGGAGGTTGCAGTGGGCCAAAATCGTGCTGCTGCACTACAGCCTGGGCAACAGAGTGAGACTCTGTCTCAAAAAAAAAGAAAACTGGGAGAGTGGCTACAGCTGTATGAACCACTGCCATGGGCCAGGACATTCGCAATAGCAAAAATGTTCTCTTACAAATTTCTATTTTGGACGGTTCATTTGTGAATTAGGCAAGGTTACTCCAGATAAATATATATACATATATATATACACACACACACACACGTATATATATATATATAAAACAGGAATTTAATATGCATAAATTGACTCTGAATTTTAGTGGAAATTTGAAGATGTTGTGGCAAAGGATATATTCTTTCTCAAGAACGTTTGAAAACCAAAGAATATCTTTACAAATTAATAATATATCTCTGTTCTTTCAATGCCTCTCCTGACACTAGTAAATTAATCATATGCCATAGTACAGGATATTTATTTATTTCAGCATCAAGGTCCCATCAAAGCCTAGCTAACCGTCTCCAGTTATTCCTGAACTATCTATGGGTGGGAAATATTTGAAAGCTCAGGATTGCTGGGCAAATATCTGCATTACATAAGAAAATGTTACCTAATAATATTTTGTATTAGCATATGACTAGTTCTCAAAGCTTTATTACATAAATCCCATCTAATAAACTGAGGTACCATACTCAATTACAAGTTCTATACAGAGGGGAAGGAAACAAGAACTTTTATTCAGAAACAGTTATCTTGGCCAAAATTATGGCATGTTAAAATGTCTCTACTAGAATGGTTTGGTTCCATGGTCTAAGATCTAAGTTTTTGATTCTGCCATCTGCAATGGCTTAAAGGGAAAAATGCTATGAGCTATCTAATATCAGAAGCTTCTTATTCTAACAGGATGCCATCCTTAGGGACTCAAAAATATTTTTCATGATTATAGAAATGCTTTCCATAGACTCAACTGAAATGAAGGATGTGGTATATGGAAACTCTGACATGTTAAACACTTTTAAAAGTAACCTTTTATTTCAGAAATGTCAGTGAACACTTACTAATGAGAATACCTGCTTAAGTAATTTAGTATCAAGCAGGGTATATGTTTTAGGCTCTTTTAAACTTGGTGGTAATGACACCTTATTAACCCAGCAAGACTGTGTCAAAGCCCTCAGTAAAGCGACAGGGTTTCTTTTGGATCATGGTAACTTTTTAACATGAAAATAAAGAATATGAAGGAAAAGCTTAGTGGTACAGATTGCACTCTATAATAGAGCAGGAGTGAATGGTCTGACTTAATTAGAGAAAATCACCTATTAGCTAACTGATAATTTTGGAAAAATTCAAGGTACAGTTTATGTGTTCTTAGTACATGAGTTCCTATGATTGTATAATTAATGAGCATCTAACTAAAGATTTTATATATTCATTTGTTCATGTTTTGCTGTACACTCTGGAAAAAGATTAGTTTACTTAGTCTCTACAGGGTTTATTGTAGCCCTCTATTTTCATTTGCTCCATTTTTAACGATATTATCCTTTCTTGATAAAGTCTTTTGCTCTTGATTTCAGAGATTTGGAGGCTTTTTTTACTTGAGTCTCTCTCTCTCTCTCTCTCTATATATATATATAGTAATTTTTCTGTTTTGCACAGGTAAAAATACTTTCTGCTGACTTTTTTTTCTTCATTTCAGAACAGTGGCACTTTGTAAAGTAAAAGGTTCTATACTGATGTTTTTTAAGATAGAAGTCTGTCTTGGGTCTCAATGGAGAAAAAAGTATCTGCCATAAAGGTAGATACATTGCCTAGTGGAAGGGACCAAAATGTTATACATAAGTCCCAACAAGCATCTTCATGATCCTCCCTCTCTGAGAGAATAAGCTTAAATTAAAACCAGCCTGCTTGCCAGCAGTAATCAGGGTAAAAAGCAAGGCTGGGGATCCTCCAGTGCACAATTTAATGTCACATGTCTGAATTAAGTACTTAACAGCATTATGTGGAGGGTGGAGGTGAGGGGGTAGAAGATCTTCTCCACAAGGTTTTCTAAACATGACAAGTGCAATGATAAAAGAAGAAAGCTGACAGTATTGACTTTATAAACACTTAACAACTGTGTATAGTACCAAACACTATAACTAAACCAAAAGACACATAACAAAATGGAAAAAATGTTTGCAATATATAACAATAAAAGCATCAATAATCTTAAAATATAAAGAACTCTTAATAAATAAGATAAAGATATCAAATAGAAAAATGGACAAAGGGCATGAAGAGACAAGTCACTATATATCTGTATCTTTCTACATCCATATATAGATATATATACAGTCGTGCATTGCTGAATAATGGGGATTTGTTCTGAGAAACAGGTGATTTTGTTGTGTAAACACTGTAGAGTGTACTTATACAAACCAGGATGGTATAGTCTGCTGCACATCTATGCTATATGGTGTAGCCTATTGCCCCTAGTCTACAAACCAGGATAGGATGTTACTGTATGGAATACTGTAGGTAGCTGTAACACATGGTAAGTATTTGCATATCTAAACATAAAAAAGGTAAAGTAAAAACAGTATACAAGATAAAAAATGTACACCTGTATGGGGGCACTTACCATGAATGGTGCTTGCAGGACTGGAAGTTGCTCTGAATGAGTCAATGTGAAGGCCTAGGACATTATTATACACTAGTGCAGACTTCATAGACATTGTATACTTAGGCTACACTAAATTTATTATAATTTTTTTCTTCAGTGATGAGTTAACCCTAGCTTACTGTAACTTTCTATTTTATAAACTTTTAAATTATTAACTTTTTGACTCTTTTTATAAAGTAACAGCTTAAAACACAAACATTGCACAGCTGTACAAAACTATTTTCCTTCTTTATATACTTATTCCATAAGCTTTTTTTTCTGTTTTCAAAGTGGTTGTTTTTTAAAAAAATTTTAAAACACATTTTTGTTAAAAACTAAAATACAAGCACACATATTAGCCTAGGACTACACACGGTCAAGATCATCAAGAAGTCACTAGGCAAGAGGAACTTTTCGGCTCCATGATAATCTTATGGGACCACCACTGTGTATGTGGTCAGTCATTAGCCAAAACATTGCTATGTGGTGCACAGTATATTTTCAATAGAAAAATGTTTAACCTTACTAGTAGTCAAAGAAATACAAATGTTGAAGCAATCATAAGATGAAAATAGAACATGCATTCCATTTTTAGGTATTATCCTAAGTAAAGCATTATGGATATGTGTAGATTTAGCTACTACGATGTTCACTGAAGTACTGTTCACAATGGCGGCAAACTGGAAACACCTTAAATTCCAGGAATAGAGGAGCTAAACAGATTCCAGCTTATGGTTCATTACAGAATATCATGTAGCCCTTACAAAATGGTGGCACAGAATACTAGTCCTCAGACGGGATGTGTACCACGTCCACTTGCAGAACTTAAAAAAACAGAGCTGCCCCACACCTGAAATTCTGTTTTAGTAGATGTGATTCTGAGGTATACTCTCAGTTGAGAACTACTATTGCAGAAGTATACATAATGACAGAAAATGCTTGTGTTATATTGTGAAAATGCAATTTTTTTTTTTTAGAAAAACAGTAAGTATTAGTATTAAGAAGAAAAAAACATGGCCTTCCTTTTCCTGAATTTTGGCAGACTAGAGTTTCTCAGTGGCCTGACTAAAGAACATTTAAAAGCTAAATAAAATATTGAGATAAATTTGCATATGCGTAAAGACTAGATGGCTATACTTTAACATGTTATTAGTGATTATCTATAGATAATAGAATTATAGGATGTTTTGCTGTGATTTTCTATCAAATTGCTACAATTACTACATATGACTTTGCTTATTAGAAAAAGAAAAATTTTAAATTTCCCCTCTTCTAAGTCACAAACTCATTTGGAGAGGAAATGTCTGATGATCAAAAAGAGGAGTTCAAGAGTTATAGACAGTGCGTTATCTGTCTGTTCCTAAAGGAATATTTCACTTAGTTGTTTTAAATGCCCTCTCGATATTACATCCCTACTAACTTCCAACGATGCCAAAGTTTACATATGATTATAAAAAGGAGATTCAATTCGAGGAAATAAACACTGCCTGAAAGGTAGTGCATTGAGGCAGCTCTAATCTTTTGATAGCCTAGACAAGGCAATCTGACGACGACTGACATACCAGCTATAAAAGCACAAACCTCAAATGCAAGTGTTGACTAAGCAGGAAAAACAATGTACCTGTCCATTTCTTACTGGTGGACCCACCACGGCTGTTGCCTCCTCGGGTAGACTGATGCCTGATGACTCACTGGCACTGAGTTTCCCCAGTGATGCTGCCTTCAGCAGTGCATCCATCTTCTTCCTATTTTCCTCTTTTGTGAGAGCCAGCTCTCTCTTCAGGAGCTCGGCGCCACACCAGTGCTGCCATTCTGTAAAGCAGTGTCGGAGAACTTGTTTCCGGTTATGCTCAGCGGCCAATTGTTGTTTTCTAAGCAACAAAGCACTTCCATTAAAATAAAGAAGCCATTTACAGTTTGTTAATTGATAATATAAACGAAACATAAGTCCAAAAGGGTTCTAGAAATGTTCCATCTTAGCTCTCGCTTAACATTTTGTATTAAGCTAAATGAAATTGCTTTATAAAT